ATTCATTACAATGAAATTTTCAAATAAAATGACAAATTATCCCTATCGTGCTAATATTACTGCCGAATCTTAATCAATCTGTGTTCCTACCGAGCAAAAAATTTCGTAAAAAAAATCAAAAACTAGAAAGTTACAGAATCTCCGCCAATGATTTCCCTTACTAAGATATAACTTAGTCAAATTTGAAATTCATCAAACAAGTTGACAGTTTGTCGATACGATTATAATTTTTTTGCCGATGACAAAAAAAAAAAAGATAAACAAAAAGAAAAAAAGAAAAAAATCCTATTAAAAGGTGGTTAATGTGATTTGGCCTTAATTATACTACATATCTAGTTTGCTCATATTCATAATCGCTATACTTCTCAAAATCAAATAAAAAGTGTGACAACAGAACTCTTTTAGGTTTCTCTGTTTGTCCTTGGTCGTTTATAGTCTCGCCTTCAAAATCCTTGAAACGATTAATGATTCGTGTGATAGACAAAGCACCAATAGCTAATACAATCTTTGTCACATACACATTATTGCTCAACGGCCACCCCACTACAAGCGTTAACATACCTATGACTACTGCATGGCATGAGGTTGAGAGAAATCTTATATAGAATGGGGAAAAGCAACAGCCGCATAATGGTAGAAACAAAAGCAAAAACGCAAACGCCATGGCTGTTGTGAGCAATACACTAGAAAGTCCACACCTGAAAGATTTGAAAGGTCCCTCACAAATAGGAGCCACAAAATAAGGATTTATAGTACGAAGATTATTCACTGTTTCAGATGCGTAAACAAATCCATTGCTATCACATTAGCGACAAAGAGAAATGCATAGATGGCACTCCAGTATCTCTTAAACCGTCTAAAAAAATTTTCTCTCATGATGTAAAGTAACTCAAATGCTAATATCACCATCGCCGGACCAAGGCGATAAGTATTCCGATAATTTTTGTGTGAGCAATATCGTTTTGATGATGTAAAAATAAAAGAAGCCTGTAGGAGTGAGAGACTAATATAGATTATGAAATCATCAAGATGGTGCGCAAACTTTTGTGTTTTGTCTTTCCGTCTCAAAAAGAGTTATTGATAATAATGGCACCATGACCGTGAGGAGAAATGTCGTGGCGTCACCGGTGGCATCATACATTGCTGCCTGTGCGTGGATTGACGTTGGAAAGTCTATCAAAAGTAAGAGTGATATCAAACATAAACGTTTCATTATGAATTTTTTTTTATATTATAAGGTTATTTGTTCGTTGTGCGGTCATTTTTATTCGTTTAATTCTGCCTTTTCTTTTAAGCTGTCGTAAATTGTAAGAAGTGCATAAAGGATTGCATTGCATATTTATGTTAGAAATTTGCAATTCGGAAGTTAGAATTCGGAAAAAGACAAACAAAAGATTTCGTTTATCGATAACGGAATTTTAAGTCCGTGTTTGTATCATTTCAGATGTGCGAAAAACATCCCGCATAATGAGGCACCACAAGTATCCCGAAGCATAAATGAAAAATCACTATTCGGAATAAGAGAGCGTTCCGTAATACTCAAATGTCCCGAACTAATCCTAAAACCTTTGTTCATTTAGTATAAACAAAATAGCACGTTACTTGATTCAATATTGTATTGATATTTTATCTCATATATCTTTTTTAAAATTTTGACAAAACTTCTGAATGGGATAATTATGTTTCTCACATTCACACTAGTCAAAATATTTCTATTTTCGAGCTTTCGCTATTATCATGAATGCACCATTTTATAATCATTCTTTCTAAATAAGTCAATGTTCTACCAAAATAAAATATTATGATCACCGCCTCTGATTGAGGATTGTGTTGCAATAGGTTTATCGCAATCGCATTATTAATTCGATTGATTAGAAGTACTAAATTAGTCTTCTCATTGGTCCTTTGTTTTTCGGTTTTGTTTTACTTTCTGCAGATGTCACGCCATATGATTTTCACATTTTCATTTTCATTGTTTTTGTCGGATTTTTTTTTTATCTGATCTTTTATCACTTGGATAAATTTATATTCCTATGAGAAACAATTGTCGCGAAACATAAATATCTACTATTCTCATACGAATCTTAAGATATTAGTGGATATAAATATGTCGTTTTGTAATGAAAGACAGTGTAATGTGATAAAGCATTATATTAAAGAAAATAAGATTTTATGAAATTCATTGTTTTTTCGTAAAAAAAAAAATTTGTGGGAAATTATATTCTAACATGATGGTATGGTTTGTTATTTATATATATATATATATATTTTTGTAATTAACCAAATGATTACAATAACTGATTTAATAAAAACAATTAATTCTTCAATTAGTTAGATTTATTTATAAGATTTTACATTAATCGCGCGCTCTTAAACCAAAGTATAAATATTCTATTCTTAAAATTTAAAACATAGGCTATGAATAAATTTTTTTATCTGTTTTTCTTTCATCTATCTCATACAATAATGTATCATTGTGAAAAAGAAGCCATTTTTAAAAACGGTAACGCTTTTGACAATTTATCTGAAAAATTACGATAAATGATTATTTAACACCGAACGAAGATGTTATTAACAGAGCTTGGAGCTTGGAAGAGACTGTCAAAACACTTTAACTTTACCATGATATTTAATCGACACGAACGCGATGCCGTAATTATATCGTTTGCGACATTAACTTTATCATTATATCAATAATTGAGAAAGAATGCTTTTCTTAAGTTGCTAATAATAACTTTGCTGATTCATAACAATCATTGTATAAGAAGGTGGATATGCATTCAACTAATTCAAAATAAATTCTTAGAATGGTTATATAATCCTTGCGGATTGAGATTGCGGTGAACTACTCTTAGATTTCAAGAAAATCGTTCGAAATACTTTTGCCATTTTACTAAAACGATGATTCCTGACTTAAAACTTTACTAAATAAATTACTTCAATTATTATAATAAATTTTTTAATTTTAACTTTTTTTATTTGACATCTTGTGTAGAAGCTTGGCCAGATTAGACATTTAATTGTTTTAATATATAAATATCAAAATTATTTAATACGCAAGACTTTTTTTAATTTATAATCTTTTCTGAATAATACAATTAATAATTGTCAGATTTATGCATTAGTAACAGATTTTGTAAATTAATATTAGTTATTTTATTAAAGCTTTTTCAAAATAAAATTTGTTATATTATACAGTCAACCTCTTGTACGGCTATCTTTATAATAGAAGAAATTTTAAGCATAAATTTATGTAGCTTATATAAAATTATGCATAAGGTTATATAAAGTTATGTAACTTATATAATGTAAGTTTTACATAACTATAAGGTTTATATAAATTTATATAAATTACATAACGTTATATTTATAAAAATTTTTAGATATATAAAATTTTATTATTAATAACCTTATTAAAATTTTATCTTAGAGATCGCAAGTATTTTGCGATTCTCTTAAGGGTTTCGCAATTACTTTGCGATTCTCTTATAGTTTCGCAAGTATTTTGTGAATCTCTTAAGAGGTTCGCAACTTTTTGTGATTTCTCTAAGGAATTCACAATTATTTTAGATGGCAGTAGAAATAAATGAGCTGAATCTTATGAGGATCGATCAACCGAACAAATTCATACTTTAGCATAATCGTCTCGTTCGGAATTTTAGCACTTCAATTCGGAATATGGCTTGTGTGTGTGAAAATTTTTCTGCTATATTTTGTGCGACTTTTTAGACTGCGGTTCGATCAGAATATATCTTGCTCTTAACCATTAGGGAACGGTTTCGGAAACCATTTTGAGCGGACGGACAAACAGATACCGGGCACAGACATACAGTCTATAGTCCTTCGCTTACGCTCCGGACTAATTAAAATTTTTTTACTTACTCCAAACCAGCTCGAAATGGATTATTTTCGTAGGAACGTTTTACCATCTCGCCTCGTTACCCGTCAAGTCAAGTTCCTTCAACCACAAAAACTTGCGTTAAGAAATTCAAATCCTGTTCTATTTCAATCGTCGAAATCTTACACAAATTCTACATTTAATTTCCTTCTTAACACCCCTTTCGATGAGTCTACTTCATCTTCCAACCTAAATAGATACCTGGGTAAAATCGGAAAAGGTTTTGTAATACGGCTTCCGGTATGAAGTATCTTTGTTCGTTGTGCATTGTTTGGCCAGATTTCTCAACATTTTTTCAATTGTAGACTGCTATATATGCGAAATTAGTCGTGGCTGGCATTGTTAGTTTAGAGTCGGTGGAAACACATGCAATGAACGTCTTCTCAATAACACAGTGGAAAAGGTACTCGACCTGAAATTGATATTTCAGATGATGAGCTTGTTCCACGACCTCAAGTTGTAGATCGTCTTAAAAAAAATTTTCAGCCAAACAAAAACCAGTCATTTTATTATGTGGTCTGCGGAGAACACGGAACCGGGAAAACACCTTAACTAGAATTGCATCAAGAGAAGTAGAACAAGATAAGGACAACGGTATACAGGGTGGAATGGGTGTCATATACGTTGATGTTCCATCTGATTTCGAAGACTTGTATTTGAAGAAAATATTTCTATCACAGAACATTGAGACGAAAAATCTTGGGTATAACTAAAGGTAATAAACTAGAACATTTGTGCTTTTATTTATCAACAATAATGCTTGGCTGTAATTTTTTTTGAATTGATAAAAAAATCTCACAAAGTTCCTGGTGAGTATCCTCATTATCATTTTCAATTACATCAACCATTACCTTTCTTCCTAAATCCCAAAACAAAGTTCTCCAAACTAACATATTTTTTGATATAGATTTAGTTATTTTAGAGTTTATTGTTGAAACTCCTACTTGAATAGATCCACTTAAATTCGAAAATTTTGTTGGCAGAGATTGTGTCTTTAATGCTAATACATTTATTAAAAAAATAACAACAAATTCTTTATTTAATATATCAGTTCCTTGAAGTACATCTTTATACTAATGCTAATTTACCAAACCAATATGGAATCTAGCAGTAGCTGTAAGGGTCATTATATAGTAAAAATAATAACATAGATAACTATGAGTCTTGTTGATTATATATGTACAAAGAAGAGTACCAATATTTAAAAGATATATAAAGTAAGAAGTCTTTTGATTTATTAAATATATGACTTTCCACACTTTAAAGATCAATAAAATATTTCTAAAATGAACTTATTTGTACTTATAAATAATCAAACAAGTTACAATACACTGATTTGACTTATCAAGTACCTAAGCAAATAGTAATTAATTATATTTTTTTAATAAAATTACTGGATATTAGAAAATAAACTAAGATAAATACATAAAATTAATAACTTAAATCTTACCATTTACTTAGAACATAAAACTTTAAACTCAATCTCTATAATATAATAATAAAGACTTAGTTCCATTTGTTTTCCTACTTTTCATAATATTTGGCATTATATATTATTTAATTGTTATGCTATTAGTTAAAATAGATGTTGTTACATTTTGAGGGCTAATTTGAAGTATAGTTTGATATCAATTTATGAATTTACAATAGTCACTCTCTTCTTAATATCTCTTTTCTAATGTATCTAATAATTTATATAATGAAAGGTTTGAGTTTCTAAAAAGCCATTTTAATATTGAATTTTTACCTTCATTATAAGAAGTTATTTGTGCACTAGTAATAAAGTATTTGCTAGTAAAAGTATGTGCTCATGATCAAAATTACATTCTAATGATCTTATCAAATAATCTTTAGCTTGTGGGTATTTCTGTAATAGTATCTCTCACCTTTTATTGAATAAACAAATATATAATTAATTGTAAAGATCAACATTATTCTTTTTTTTAATTTCAATTAAGAACAATTAATGTTATATTTATTTAAATTTCAAGTACAATAAACAAAAATCTACAATAGATAAAATAATGAACGAAATTATATAATACAATAGAATATTATAATAAAAATCAATAGAGTTTAATAAATAATGATAGAGTCTAATTAAAACAATTATTATTAAGTGTGACAAAATTGATAATAGACAATTATACTGAAAAAATAACGAAAAAAATACGAATAAGAAAATTAAAAATCGAAAAGCGAAAACGAAAAGTTAGAAACGAAAGCGAAAATTAACCAAAAAAAAAGAAGAAAAATACGAATACGAAATAAAAAAAAAAAAGGACGAATGAAACGAAATTAAGAAAAGAAACTAAAAACTAAATAAAAGCAAAAAAGATCGCACGAAAAATTTAAAAAGAATAAGATTAAACGAAAAAATATAAATAAAAAAAATAAAAAAATGATCGCTGAATTTAAAATAAAAAAGACCGGGGGGGGGGGAGGAAAAAAAATATACTATTAAAATAGAGTGGAGTAGAATCGGGTGGAGGTGATGAGTAGAGTATATCAAGTGATGATGTTGAGTATATTTTTTTTAATACTCAACTGCCCTTACCTAACACTAATCTAACCCTAACATACCAGCATTAAAGGTAACTCCTAACAATTCGGTATGACAAAAAACCATACTCAACATTATAACACGTGATACTCTACTCATCACCTCCACCCGAATCTACTCCTTTTCGTAATACTATTAAAATAAATCATTCGCTAATTAAAACAAAATTTTCCGATTCAAATTATCATTATCGGTTATTTTTTACTGCGGTAAGATCTACATACTTTGACAATTATGTTATCGTTATATAAGATAATTTGATTAAAATTGAAGTTTTTTTAAAAAAACTTTTTTTTAATTATGAGTTATGACAATGTCTAATAGTAATTATGAAGGTAAGAGTTTAATAAAAAAAATTAAATAATATTTTCACCAAACAAGAAAAAAGAATAAAAAATATAAAGCTTCTTATGATTAAAATGAATTATTTGACGGTTTGATGATATTCTAAGATCTTTTTTTTTTATGAATTTACATTAGAGCCAGTTTCGGATGCTAAAAAAACTTTCTTATTAAATGGTAATACATGTATTATTATTAACCACACTCTAATTCGTAATTATTCATTTTTTGTTTGCTAAAAATTAAATTTTATCAAATTTAAATATAGAATCAGTTTCAAATACTCCTACATTAAAAGAATTAAACGGTAATAAACTTTATTTATCTATTATTTACTTATATAATTATTTAATAATTAATATTTTTTTCTTAAAAAAAAATTTAATGATGGTAACGCTTAGATTGTAAATTATTTTTATTATATTTAATTTATATAATTTAAATTTAATTAAACTATTATTAAAAAATATTTAATGATCAATATTATAGGGAGTAAGTTATTTATTTTTTATATTTTAATTTAAACTTAAATTATTATATAAAAATTTTTAATGATAATTAATAATATTTTAGTTGGAAATTATTTATATTTATAATATTTATTGTAATTTAAGTCAACTAAATTTTTTATTTAAAAAAATAAATTTTATTAGCAAGTAAGTTATTTTTATTGATTAACAGTATTTAATTATACTTGTTACTATAATTTAAAGTCAACTAAATTTTTTATTTATTTAAATTCAATAGATGGTAAGTTATTTTTATTGATTATTAATATTTAATTATACTTGTTGCTGTAATTTAAAGTCAACTAAATTTTTATTTAAAAAATAAATTTTATTAGAATGTAAGTTATTTTTATTGATTATTAATATTTAATTATACTTATTACTATAATTTAAAGTCAACTAAATTTTTATTTAAAAAATAAATTTTATTAGAGAGTAAATTATTTTTATTGATTATCAGTATTTAA